TTTGAACTTTTCATCATCGCATTCCATTCACATTAATAAGGAAAGTTCTGGGCAAAAGACAAAGCTGATTTGATAATTTAATTGAAAATGCAGGAGAATGTGGTCCTGATATTTTATTAAATTTTTATGCGTTGAGACCTGAGAGGATTAATTAGTTTAATATACTGTAATTTATTGACCATAACGACGCCTTACGTAGTAATAGTGACTGAGAGACCCTACAACCTTTAAATTGAAAGTCCAAGTCCCCTCTTATATGGGTTATGCTAAAGTCCCCTTTTTTTGTTTTTGTAGCTTGTTAATTATTTCTTGTAATTTGTTAGGATCTATTTAGAATCATTGTTCTCATCTAATTTTTTATATTTTTGTTGTCAAATTTTGAACAATTAAAATTGATAATTAGAAGTCAAAATTAAAAGTTAAAATTGATAGCTTATTTAGTAAAACTTTACAAAACAATTGAAAACCAATTTAATTTATTAAACTTTGTTTATTTTTTTATCAAACCTTGCTAAATTTCAAATAATAATAATATAAAGATTCAGATGAAACCTTTATCCATCTGTGGAGACATCCTTGGGCTATGGTGCATTGTGATTGTATAGTACAGGTGGTGTTCACTAGAACTAACAGCGCCACCTAATTACATTCTTAAATTTAATTTTTGACATCTCTTTAATGGTCCTTGCTCATCTTCTTGATTTGACACATCATGTATGCCCACTTTTGTTGTTTGTGGGAATGAAGATAAGGCCAGGAAGTGGGATAGAAAGCTAAGGATGCTTTCCATCTTTTAAATTAAGTCAACTATTTTAAAAATGTCATCTCTTCTTCTAAGACACGATAATTTTTTTAATTAAATATATAATTAGAATTTCACAGTGCCACATATATGTGTAATTAGAGTTGTTATACTCGGTCACACCAGAATATGCTACCACAAGAAGACTCAAATAATGCTAACATAGAGTCAGGTAAGACCAACTCAAACCTATAACACTTACAAACACACAGAATCAATTAAAGATAAGCTTTATTTGATAATACTTTTCACAAATTTTTTTCACCCGACACTTTTATCAAAAACATTTAAATTTATTATTTTTAATTATTTTTATATATTTATATTAATTTTAATTAATATTTTATATATTCCTAAGATATATAATAAAAGAAAAAAAAATCTATAAAGCACAACACAATACTACACTCCTAAAAAAGCCATGGTGCTTTTGTGGGAATTGGGAAACGAGATAATTAAGGGAATAACAAAATGAACCATATTAGATCGAGGATGGGTAGATATAGGAACAATTTTTTATATAATTTTTTATTATAATTTTTATATATTATTTAATGAATAGATGTATTTAATATTACAAGTTCTAACTAAATAAAACAAGTCAATTATTTAATTGACATATAAAATTAAATTAAAAAATAATACAAAAAATTATTTTTAAATATTTTACTTAGAGGATATGTCTCCCTTTAATCTTAACCTATTTGGTCACCCATGTCCCCGGAAACTAACCTCTCTTTTTAACTGGCTTAGGCTTGAAAAACTTTTAGACCCAAAAATCAAGGTAAAAAATAATTTATTATAAAATAAAAAAATATTTTTTTATAATAATCAATTATAAATTAATATAAGAAATTTCTTGGTAAAAAAATCCTAAAAAGTTTCCTTCTGAAATTTGCAATTGATTATTTTGCATTTTAATTTATTATACTTATTTTAAAACATTTATAACTAATTATAAAAGAAATATAATCAACTACTTATTTTTCCTTTTTTTTTTGTGCCCAAAAAATCTGTTTAAAAACTAAATTCGAGTTGTTTATTTTATCCAACTTTTCTGAATATTAGTTTCGAGACATAAATAACCAAACAAGCGTTCAAATGTTATAAGTTAGCACTCTGAAAGGAACATTACCATACGATATGGACAAAAGACAACTAGACACTCGGGCCGCGTCTGCATGTCTCCAAAGCAGGACCAACCATTGATGCAAATTGAATCTCCTCACCCTTAGCTGCCATTATCAATATCCACCCATCCATCCTAGCCAACTCCTAAGTTTCACATCAAACCCAAAACGAATCTGCAATTATTTGGCATTTGATAGCACCAGCAATGACATGTGACGACGTCTTAGGGGGTTTGTTTACTACCATGCGTTGCGTATATGGCGCAGGAGACAGACAGGGCCGCTTGTTTTCAAGGAAAATGTTAAACAGGTGGGAATGTGATTTCCTTGGTTGGTGTTTTGGGGTTAAAGCTCTCTGTCGTCCCTCTACTTTCAAATTTTGTTCATAACCATCCCTCTACTACATATTTGTTCATTTTCATCCCACTACTCCAAAATCACACCAAATGTCGCCCCTGTACTCCCTTTATTTTGTTCATTTTCATAATTTTCTTGACGCCATTTCTATATTCGTTAATTTGGACCATTAGTTGCATTACAGTCAGCAGTTAAAATTATTTTTTATTATATATTGTTTTGCCATGTGTTGCAAACTTGGGGTTTAGTTAAGATCCATGGTTTTATGTTTTAGTTTTAAATCAAATCTCTTTTCAATTGTTTCTATTACTTTAACCCTCACTTTTTTTTATCAAAACATCCACCACCTTTGGTGCCAACCTATACACCCATCGAAAAAATTCATGAGATAAAAAATCATTTTTTCTCTCTATGTATTAATTAAAATCAAACAAAAAAAAACTATAAATTAGGAAAATGAAAAAAAAAAAGCTAAAAAGGTGAAGAATTGTGTCTTGATTATTTATGCATGGAAATATAAAAAAAGTTTTTTTAATCTATCTAAAAATATAAGTCAAGAACACTTTTTTTTTGTTATAAATATATGTGTTTTTTGTTCATTTTTAATAGATTTAATTTGACTTTTTAATATTTTGAATATGAATTTCAAATAAAAATTTAATAAATTATATGAATAACAATTGAAAAGTTTTTTTCTTCCTACATGAAATTGTTATTGAGTACTTTTATTTGATAAAAAAAATTAATTATTATTTATATAACATGTTTAATTTTTATTTGAAATTCATGTTTGAAAAGTCAAACAATTAAACTAAGTCTACTAAAAATGAATAAAATATATATATAAATTGACATTAATTTTAGTGTTAGTGCCATATATATGAATTTAATTAGACAATTAATAAATTAAATGTCAAATATTATATGTTTAATGCAAATTAATAACAAAAATGCATATTTATACACTTTTCACATGTGTTCTTAAAATTTGCACCCTCTCCTCCCTCTTGAATGCCTCTTGCATTACCTAGTTTGCCGTGAAATGGGAGAATTTTCCGAACAGGTTGATTACATTGAACACTTGGAACATTGAAACCATTCTCTAGTTGTGGCTCTACAAAAGCATTAGGAGTGTCATGTAGATTCCCAGACACGAGCCAACAAGCCTCGTCAACATTTCTTTTGAGAAATATGGCGTCATACATTGCATAGATGTACCGAATGATGTTGCTAGTTGGGAAAGTTCTAGAAGCATCTGGTTTGCTTCCTCGAAGTTGTCCAGTGAAATAGCCTCCACACACTACAAGAGTAAGGTCAAGAGGTGCAACCCTTCTTTGTCTCTTTTTTGTTTCTGTAGCTACTCTTTTTGTCTCTAATGTTGCTTGTTTGGAGGGTGGACATGGATGTTGGCACGATGGTTAGTGGAGGCATTGTTTTTACTAGAGAAGAGTTTTCTTCTTCCAACGGTTGATACTAAGCCTGAGATACTTGGGGTGGAGAAATTTTCTATGTTTCATTTAGTTAAAGAATTAGTGTAATAGAAAAGGGACTAGGAACTTGATGATAGTGCGGCTGATGCTGGTTGCTTCCATTATCAGAGGAGATTGGAAGCAATAGAGTTATTTATGGTTTAAGTACGGATTTATCATAGAAGATTGATAAAAACTTAAAATCTTTAACTAGAAAAGTCTCGAGTTAGTAGTACATGTGGTAAAAAAAAATAAAAAATAGCTTTAATTGTTGATTGTGATGTAATTATCAGTCAATTTAACAAATGTAGCAACGATGTTAAGAAAAGGATGACAATGAGTAAAACAAAGAGAGTAGAGGGACAACATTTGGTGTGATTTGGGGAGTAGAGGGATGGCGATGAACAAATCTGTAGTAGAGGGATGGTTATGAACAAAATTTGAAAGTAGAGGGCTTTAACCCTTTGGTTTTGTGTTAGGAGTAATACCAATTCTCGGGAAAGAACATCACTCGGGACTTCTTCTCCTTTAAGCCTGTCTAACTCTCATCTCAAACCAGGCGGCAGAATTTTATAGGTTCTTTTTTTCCATATTTCTGTTGATTTGTTGATTAAACAATTACTATAATCAAGTTCAATGACTTTTAGGATAATATTCTCCTTTTTTTTCCTTTTTTTTTTTGAAATAGATAACATTCTCCTTTTTTAAGTTCATGTGTTTGTACGCATGGTCATGAGCAGCAATAAAACTGTTAACGTATTTAACACTGTAAAATTGTAAAATATTTAGTTTACAAAAAAAAAATAAAAATCTCCCATTCTCCAAAATTTCTTTCATGTTAAAAAAAAAATGTAAAATATTTAGTTTAATATAATTAATAATAATTAATAATGATTAATTAATAAATTAAAATTAATTAATAAATTAACATTTTTAAACACTATTTTCAAAAAAATTAAAATTTTAATAATTTTAATATTTTTTATAGGGGACAATAACTAGGCCCATTTGAGACAACTCTCTTTAATTTTCCTTTCATAATCATGCGTAATGTGACTTGAACTAAATCTTTTTGCAGACGACTTAAGACCTTAAATTTCTTTACTGGATGTCTTGAATTCTACTTAAGAAAATGAAAAAAAGATGCAAGAAAGATGAAAGCTGTCTGTGTTGTATAGCTCTTTAATAAGGTACACACTTTACGAATTTAACATAGTCATGGAACATCAAATGGGTGTTTGAGAAGGAAAGAACAAAGTGGGAGATGCTCCTGAATTATAGTCAGGGATGACTGACTTTATAAATAGGAGTGCACAATGTATAAATATTGATCTTAAATGTATTGATCTTAAATGTATTGATCTTAAATGCAGCAGAACCACAAATATAGATGTTTTTTGATGTGTACAATTCCAGTTATTTCCTGTTATTGAATTCTCGAGTTTCTAAATGACCTCTTATTCTTCAGACAGAGGCACAAGAAGTACAATTGCAAGACATGGGTACAAAGGCACAGACCCCGTAGGGCTTGTTGGGAAGCTGGCAGTCGATGCCAAAGCAGCAAGGCAAGGTGGCACAAGTGGCGGCGGCGCTGGCGGTGCAACACTTGCACGCCAAACAGAGCTGGAAAGGTGCCAACCTCCGCCGTGGGTCACCATCGAGGTTGCTTTCCAGCGGGCGGTACTCTGTAGGCCCCACCGGTTTCCACTCCCCCGTTGGTGACTCAGTTCTCACCAGATTTACTGCACATATATATCATAACTCTCTCAATTTGATTTTCAAAAAAAAAAAAAATTCTCAACTTCAATCAAAATTCATATAAAAAAATTACAACTAAAAAAAAAAAAGATACCTTGAAGAATGAACTGAGAGATGAACAGGAGCAATACCAATGGCTTCATTATACTGTTCATGATGCAGGCTGAGGAAGAAAGGGAAAGAGCATAGAGAGCTAGATTTTTGAAGAAAAAATTATGTGGTGGAAATGTGGAGGAGGAGGAGATTTTTGCAGGGAAAGTGGGTCAAGCAAAGAAAGGATATTTATCAAGCAAAGAAAAAGTGGTATTACGACAAATACATTAGGATTATGCAGAGAAGGAACCAATAATAGAGGCTACAGAGCCATTTGGAGCAATCTGAAACTGACAACCAACACTACTTGTGTGCAGAAAATCCTCCTTTTCCTTCATTTTGCTTGAAAAAGCCTAATCATACTAATTTGGGGGGTGTCATTAGGGCCTGGGACCATTCTCCCTGTGGTACCTTTCAAAAGGATTTTCAAATCTCGGCCGACGGTTTAGATAAACTGTTGTAAATTTTAATTAATAATTGGTTTGCAAATTTAATGAGCATGCGTTTCTCAAAGGAAAAATAAATGAAATATTTATTGCAACAGTTATATATTCATTGTGCAATAATTTTGATTTAATTAGTCATTTAAATTAATATTTATATTTCAGTTACAATTTAAAAGTTTATAAATAAGTAACTTTCTATTTGTGTTATAGGTTGTTACATAAAAAATATATTGCACTATTGCACTTTTATTCTCTGTTGGGCAAGGAAAGGTGATGGTGTGGAGCTTGCTTTACAAGGATGCAATACTTGTAAAGTCACAACAAAAAATGTTGGGTTAGTTATATCTTGAGAGCGATATACTCATATAAAACTGTTGCACCAGTAGCACCAAACATCTTAAAGAAAGAACAATGCTGATATACTGGAATGCAAAGAAGGAAGCCAAGAAACAACATTTATATATAGCAGATATGAAGATTAAAGTTTGAGGAACAACATATACATCATCATCATAATTAAGATTAATTTGAAGCAGAAAATTGGATTTCTTTGGAAGGAAATTCCCTGGTAGAGTATGTAATGTAATACAAGCTTGAACGGATAGCATGGTTCAGACTAACCGGGACACCATTCACATTAGGTACATAGAAGCACAAGCACCTGTGTTTTTAACAAGCAAATTTTGTCATTTGAACATGGGTCATGGGAAAAAAAGACGTACAATGTATACAGATATCCAACATTCTCATCTGACCCTGCACGCTGAAGGACCACCAGGGGAACAATCGGGATTAGGAGACCGACAGATAGAACCAGGGCCAACGTTGTTTGGAAACCTGTGATGAATACGGTGATCATGGATTCCCCCCATTGCAAATGCACCACCACGGCCACCTGTCAGTGTTGGGGTCAATGACGATGAGGCTTCATTTGCACCATCATTAGGGCACTGTAGAGGCTCCAGTGTTTCAACTACATCACTCATTAAGGGCCTTGCTTTGGGATTTTGGCTCAGGCAATAGTACGCCAGGCTACAGGCTTTCTGGGCTGCTCTTACTGAGTATTGGTTCTCCAGTCTTGGATCAATGATTTGCAGCAGTTTTCTCTTGTCGTTCAGTTTTGGTCGAGCCCAATCCACCAAGTTCTGTTCCTTGCTTGGTCTGGTCTTGTCAACAGATTTCCTTCCTGTCAGTAGTTCCAAAAGAACAACTCCGAAGCTGTATACATCACTCCTGGCAGTGAGGTGCCCTGCTCATTAAAGATGCAACAAACGTGATCAGGCACCTGCACATTAAGCATAACCATCTATTTGCTTAGTGAAAATATTAGAATAAAAATAAAAATCAGTGGAGTCCCTCACACTAGGACAAATGCACACCAGCACCAATTCCCATAACTCGCAGAACAAGTTAAGAACAGGAAATTACAGTCTCCTTGAAGTCAGGTTCTAAGGAAGAATAATCTTTTGCATACCATGTAGCATACCATGTAGCTCTTTCACTCGATCAGTAACTTAATTTTCAATTACTTTTTTTCATGAATCATGAAAATAGAGGAAGTACAGAAATAAAGAAGGCTTTTCCAATTTTATTATTTTTTATGCAAGTAATGCCTTCATTATTTGCTTTTACTTCAATATTATATTTTCATTTCCTCCCTATACCATATTTTTTTGCATGTCAACGCAGGAATGTCGTCGAAATTCGTTCCATTTAATTATCTAACAAAGCAGTGAGTGCAACTTAATTCATTTTCACTGTTCCAATTGCTAGTGATATATGTAGGATCCAAGAATCTCGAAAGCCATACCAGTCATCACATATTCAGGAGCAGCATAACCATAAGTGCCCATTACTCGAGTAGATACATGGGTCTCATCACCTTGTGGTCCAGCTTTTGCAAGCCCAAAATCAGAAAGCTTGGCAGTATAGTCCTTCATATTAAGAGACAACAAGCATAAGTCAACCAGGGAAAGAAATGCAACAATCAAAAAGTTATCATAAGGAGGCTCTTCAGTAATTTGTCTAAAGAAACTTACAGAGTCCAACAAAATGTTAGAGGTTTTGAAGTCCCGATATATTACTGGCCTTTCAGCATTATGAAGGAAAGCAAGTCCTTTTGCAGCACCAAGAGCAATCATCATTCTTCTGCCCCAAGATAAAGGAACAGTTGCCTCTGAATGCCTCAGGAAAGGCAGCATCAACTTCAGTTAACAGTTAACATAAACATTTTCATAAATTGAGTTAAAAAATTAGACTTTCATTAAATTTCAGTGAGTGAATAAGCGGGATGGTATTAAAACCAAACACTGTGAAGTGGATGATTGATTGCTCACATAGTTTCAACCATCAGGTCCGTAACTACACAATATTATTAGTTTCAGTTGGAGAAGAAGCCTAGATCTCAAAGCACATATCCAATCTACATGATTTCACTACTTAAATTAAACCGAAGCCTAGATCTAAAAAGAAGTGTATATTCACTTCAGATGATTTCACAAATTAAATCAAACCACTTGAGTGGAAAACAGCCCCAGGTTTTTATTTAGAGGGTGGGAAAGATTTAAGGAGTTCTCTCATTCCATGTTAGCAGACAAGGAAAAGTTAGGTAAATGGCTACACTGCTAGAGCAAAGGTTTCATATTCCCAGATAGTACTTGGAGATTCAGGTTGTTATAGGCCTTATAAAGATAATCAGCAAGCTTTTTCTTTTCCAAAAGAGACAAGTCATCTTGAACCTTCTCTGGCAAATTAAACAAATCCTATTTTTTGAGACATGAGCTCATTAAATTGCAGTTCTATCTTGCCCTCTTCAGAACTACTGTTTTTCAACATTACTCTCATACAAGTCTAGACATGAGCTCTTTACATTACAGTTTTATCTGGCTCTCTTCAGCAAAGCTGTTTTTAGTCCCCGGTTTTTTCATCCTTCTTTGTTTTTTTTTTTTTTTTTGGAGAAAAAAATAACAATAATAAAAGAAGACCCAAAATCCTTTGAATGCAGACACTAAAGTTGTTCAGAATTACAGGACGATTAAAGGAAGAATGTGCTTAACATAAAAGATCTCAAAGCTAAAGGGAACAGTCAAACAGAAAAATTAAAATAAGACTAATTTGTCATGGTTTAGGTTTTAATCATGCATGCACAAAGAAAAAAATTTATGACAGAAGCTAGAAGAACATGCAGGGGTGGAAAAGTATGAGGGGCAGGCTAATCTCCTAATACATTGCTAGAACAAGCAGAATTGCACATATTGCTTGAACACCAAGTATATGAGACAGCAAGACAACAAAGGTTTAAAGCTCAGTTGTGATAAGATAGCCATAACATAAATAAACAATAGGTAGCATGGCATGCAATTACAGTAATTGATGGCCAAAAAGGACCAGAAATGCATATGATGAATTGTCGAGGAAACACCAAATAGGAGAGAAAGCGAAAATGCCTACTTCGAAAGAGATGATTCTCAAGGCTTCCTCGGAACATGAATTCATATACAAGTAATCTGTGATCATCCTCACAGCAATATCCAATCAGCTTAACCAGATTAGGATGCCTAAGTTGCCCAAGAAAGTGGACTTCCGTCTGCAGACATCATTTAAGCCAAATAAGAACAGACTATTGACTCTCCAAAACACTGGAAAGAGAGCAAAATGAATCAAATAAAATGATGGGAAAAGGACATACAAGCCATTCACGGTGGCCCTGAAGGCCCTCCTTGTTGAGGACCTTGACCGCAACTGGCAGAGATTTGAGGCCAACCCTCACATTCTCATCTATGTAACCCTTGTAGACCGTCCCAAAACCACCCTCTCCGAGAATGTAATCGTACCGGAAACTCTTGGTAATCGTCTCGAGCTCATACAAAGTGAAGGCAATGACATCGGTGTATAGCACAGCATTCTTCCGGGAGTCCTCGAAATTGCGTGGAGTAGAAGGATCGCTCAGATCTGACACACTACGATTGTGATTCTGCTTCTTGTCGGCGGGAGCCGCCTTCCCCGGCAACGACGATGGCACGTGGAGCTGTTGAACTACAAAAATGGAAAGTTTCAGAAAATTCACATTCATTCCAAGTTTTCAACTTTCTGCCTCAAATTAACAGGAAAATCTGAATTGACTCACACCCATAAAAAATCAGCAACTGGGCATCACAGAGCACAATTGAATCAAACAAATGTAAAGAAATAAGACCATTCCACATCAATTCTCAGAAACCCAGATACATAAATCAGGTAAAAAAGACAAGCTCAAGATCTGAGAGAGAAGAACCTTGAGCATTTACAACAGCAGATTCCTCTCTAGTGCCACAGTTACCCATTTTGCTCTTTCATACTTGGGTTCCTTGCTTCTTCTTCCCTAAATTTCCCCGACAGACTGGCTTTGCAGGTAGGATATGAATGTGAGTATTTTTCAGTAGAATTCTCCTTTCTTCTTTCTATTTTTTTTTTTTTTTTATATTTCCTCACTGTGTTGAACTGTACTGGTAAGAGGTGAGAGGAAGAGAAGGGAGGGGATGAAAGACTAAATTTTTTTAATAGTTGATTGAAAATTTTACTGCTTCCACTCTAACAGAATAGTTGAGGATGAATGAATCCATAGCAATGGAGGCTGAAGGTAGAACATGGGAGTTAGTAAAATACTAAAATTTAACAAAAGCAGAGGCTGAATCCAGGAAAGTAGAATTGGTTTGTGTTTTTTTAACTTTTTCCCTTTTGCAGTTTTGAAAGGAGAGTGGTTGCTTTCCTGGCCTTTTCTTTCATCTTTCTCCATGCTTCTTTTTCTTTTTACCCATGCAATAAATTAATTAATTAAACAAAGTTTAAGATGAACTCCTTTTAAAAATTTTATCCACTGAAATACGCTATTACTTTGCTACCTTAATAAAATAATGATAATAAAAAAACAAAATAAAAAATAAGTATAAAATTTCAAGTGTAAGTTATATAATAGATTAAATGCTGAATTTGGTCTCTCAACTTTAGTGAGTTGCATATTTTTGGTTCCTCATTAATTTTTTACACTTTTTTTATCTTATAATTATACGAAATACACTTTGTTAGTCTTTCTGTCAATTTGGGCCGTTAACTCGGCCACATGGCATTTTTTATATTTTTTTATGACATGACAAAGACAACTTTAAAAGGTGCTAATCTAGACTTTTTTTGATAACATGTCATCTTTCTATGCCGAAACCCCTCCAATGGATCCCACTTTGCCTACAAACCAACAATAAAGAAAGGTCTGTGAGCCCTATAATGGTCTCACATCTTCACTTTCTGCAAAATCAATCTAACTCATATCTTCTTATTCTCTAAATGCTCTCTCATCTCCACTTCATCTGCAAAATTGATCTTAACCAATTTCTTCTTTTTCTCTGAATGCTCTCTCACCTCCACTCCATCTACAAAACTGATCTTAACTCATTTATTCTTTTTCTCTTTTTTGTCATTGAACCCAGCTACTGGGTTTCATTTAAGCCTCAAACCTAGCAGATCTTATCAAATCAAATTAACCCTTCAATAAACAATATCAATCAAACTCTAATCAAATTCCATTGTAAATCAACTCCCAAATTTATTAACAACTAGGAATGGAAATTGAAAGAACCCAACCGATCTGGGTGTCGACGAACCCAGCCTTCGACAAAACCAACAAGGCTGGTTTGTGCTACCAACAAGGTTGGGTTCGTCGAAACCCAGCAACTAGGTTCTACGGCAATACCCAACAAGATCGTCAAAACCCAGCCTTGTTCGGTTTCGATGAACCCCGACGAACCTAGCAAGGCTGGGTTTCGACGGTGAACCCAGCCTATTTCTACCGACCCAGGGTAGGAAAGAAAGAGAAAGAAAGAAGAGGAAGAAGAGGGATTGAGAGGGTGAGGATAACAAGGTAATTTTATTTATTTTTAATTAAAATATAAATATTAATCTATGTTACATTTTTATTTATATAACATAATTAAAATATATATTATTGCCACATCATCAAAAAAAATTAAAAAACAATGCCACATGAAATTATTTAACTGACAGATGGATTAAAATTGTGCAATTTTTAAAGTCGAGAAATAAAAAAAATGCAAAAAATTGTTAAGGGATCAAAAATGTTCATTTTGTAAAGTTGAGGGACTAAATTTAGCATTTAACCTATATAATATAAGATGATTAAAAAAAAAATAGTCTCAGCTTCTATTATTAAGCCCAAAATAATAATAAAAAACAAATAAATTCATAAAAAATATCAACGACGAACAATTGGAGCATTTATAACAAAAATAAAAATAAAAATATTATAATTATAATATTACATGATATTATAAATTTATAATACAATATATTATTGTATAATTAATTTTTTATTTAAAAATATATTTATAATATTTTATTTATTTATTTATTTTCACGTCATATTTTAGTAAATATCATATAAAATTATAAAATTAAAAACTTGCAATCTTATATGCTACTATAAAAATAATAATAATATAATGGTTCAATAATAATACTAATTACAATAATTTTTTGTAAAGAAGAGACTTCCATTCAAGTTATACAATAAGCGGGAAAAAAAATGAAGTTACAAGGCTTTTTTTTAATATGTTGAAAAAAAATTTTTTTTTAATATGTTGAAAAAAAAATTTTTTGATCCAACATCACTAAACTTACATAAGAAATTCCTAATAAATGGAGGGTAATATGTTAGAAGTTTTTGGAGCAATAGTATGTTGAAATTTTGGTTGGTAGTATTTGTATTCCAGTATAATTAATTTGTGAGTGTTGGAGTGCCCTTGTATTTCTTTAATAAATTTGAAATCGATTTTCAAAAAAAAAAAAATTCAAATAAATATACACAAAATGTTGGAGTGATTACAGTTGAAATTTACCTCAAAAAGGATTTATATGGAGTTAACAAGCAACACTCTAATTAACAAATAAAATAAAACATTCCTTAGTCCTTAGTAGGTATCTTTTCCTTTTTATATGTAATAATACAAAAGCAAAGTTTTAAATGTAAAATCTCCATTGATCTATTTTAGTATATCTCCTATATCCCTAATCTTTTCTAAAATGTTATTAGATCTTATACAAGATGTTATTACGTATACAACAACTTTCCCATAAAGAAATTAGCAACGTAAGGGTTGCGATGGTATTTTCTTCCTAACTTGTTGACTCTAAAGATGTTAATAAAAATGTAATTTTTCATTAATTTTAATATTATTGATTGACTAGATTAAGGAAATGAACTTAATTCAACGTATGAAAACAATTGTCCCAAAATGCCACCTCTAAACTCTAACTTGACCACAATATTTGAAAATTTAACTAGTTAGTAGTTAGTATATTCAACTACGAAAAAGTGTGATTCATTCAACAAATGAGTATTTTTTTTTTAAACAATTTATAACTTAAGGAAAAGAGGATTTGAATCTCAGTTTTAGGGTTGAATGATGCACCTTATTACAAGACATAAAGTTATTGGGTTACAACATTTAATACAACAAATAAGTAATTAATTAGTCATTTTCATTCAAAAGTAATTAATAAGAGTCATGTATACTAGCAATTTTGAAATTTTGGCAAAACATAAACAATTTAAAATTTATTTCATTCTTTTATTTAAAAAAAAAAATCATCCTTAATTGACATTCAGACACAAACCTTTACGAATTTGGGAGAAGGAAGCCTCTAGGATGCTTCCATTTTTTTTTTTCTGATATCTCATATATACTTTTTTTTTTCTTATTTAGAGCTAATCAATTATTGTATTCATGATTATTATCTTTTATATTTTCCTTTTCCATTATTCTTTATTTTGTAATTGGGCCTTAACCCAATTTAATAGACGTTTGAGAGAGGCCCAAGGAGTGGATCCATCATCCGTTGTCTCTGAAAGTGGAACCTTATCCATTCAGATCATTCCCGGAGAGTTTTCTCAGTCTTGCACTCAAGTGATTTCCACAAATGGCGATGGCTCCGACAATGGCAACCGCGCCAACAACCGGCCGGTGGAGCATGGCGTCTCTCCGCGCAGCTCTTCCGCCACTCAAGTCCACCTCTGTGAGAGTTTCTTCACGCGCCGCCACTAAATGCCATTCGCTTCCTCGCTCTTACGTCGGTCTCTCTCCGGCTAAACCCCTCATGTCCCTTGGCTTTTCCGGTACTACCAATTTCCTCCATTCTCATCCTTTTCAATTCATTACAATCTAATTTCTCCTTATACTTATTGTCCCAAAATGCTGGTGTTCCTAATTTCCTTTTCAATGCCATTCATAAAACCCTTAGTACAATTTGGGTATTAGCCTATGCAATGAGAAGGATTCTAGACTTCTATTTTATTTTTTTGTCTGATTTTTATTATAGATTTGTAGTTGTGTATGAAGAGCTGTTGCTAATTAGGTGTTAGTTGAAAATGAAATCTTTCATTTATCTAGTTCACATTTTTGGGGTTAATTGATTATTTTGGATATGTGTTATTGTAGGTTTCTAATGTACCATTCATATTTTGATGTTGCTAACAATGCAATCATTTGCAGATCGTACAGGTTTTGGGAACAATTTCACCATTGTTGATAATGGTTCTCGATTTTTTGCAATGAGGCATGGCAAACGAGTACCAAAGCTCAACAGGCCTCCTGACCAACGACGGGCACTTATACGAGGCCTTACCACTCAGCTTCTTAAACATGGAAGGATTAAGACAACCAGGACAAGAGCAAGTGCCATTAGGAAGTTCGTCGACAAGATGATCACCTTAGCAAAGGATGGTTCTCTTCACAAAAGGAGGCAGTCTCTGGGTTTCATTTATGAGAAGCAGATTGTCCATGCCTTGTTTGCTGAGGTTCCAGACAGGTATGGGGATAGAGATGGTGGATATACTAGAATTATTAGAACACTGCCAAGGCGAGGGGACAATGCGCCCATGGCATACATTGAACTTGTCTAGGCACTTCTCGAAGCTGATTCTACAACATCTTTAAGTAATTATGACACTAGTCTTTGTAATGAGAATTCTAAATCTGTTGACTTTGATATTCCCGTGTTGGTAAATTTCATCTCTTTAGCATTTAGCAGCCATCATTCTTTAGATGTATTTGACTTTTTGGAAATGAAGTCTTTCGTTCATTTAAAAAGTTCATATAGAAGTTATCTTTCAGGAATTTAGAATAAGGTAGAATTACTAATAATTTTTAGGAACATAACCATGCTGGCACTTCCAAATTGTGCTTGTTTCAAGCAAAATTTCACCATTGTTGAGCTGTTGTCAACCTTTGGTATAAGACATGGGGGAGGATCTAGTAGTTGTGCTTAACAGGTCTCCTGATACAAGTACTTTTGTGAGGCCTTACCAGTCAGCTCCTCCAACACGGTATGATTGAGACCCCAAGGGGAAAGGCAATGTGCAATGAGGAAGTAGCTTGACAAAATGAGCACTTCTCAAGCTAGCTCTTGGCTTCATGATAGGCATGGGGATAGAAATGGTGGATTAGAAAAAACTATTAGAATGCTAGAAAGGGTATAATTAATCGTGGCTTACATCGAACATGCCTAGGTACCTCTCTTAAAATGTTGTTGATGCAGTATTTCCAAAATGTTGTGCCTGCATTATCACATGCCATCATGAACAATTCCTGGTTTTTCAATAAAAAATGCAGAAAAAGATACCCAGTTTTGTACGTATGATGTTTTACTGGAATCCAAGTTTAAATTTGTGGTTAGTTGAGCATGAAGAGCCACAAAGATAAATCTTAAGCAAGACACATACTAACATCAAGGGATGAGAACTAATGGGTCTGACCAGTTTTCTTGTTCTGTTCTGTTTCTCTGTGCTGCATCAAACATCTTGAGCTTGCATCTTCATTTTTTCTTTCTTTTTTCCTTTTTTTTTTTTTATTATGCATTAAACATGTCATGTTATTCTAGCACACATGTATCTCAGCTTGTCTGATTCTGAACATACTCAGCTTATCTGATTCTGCACACCTGTTATCTTATTTTTCTTTATCCTGATTGATTCTCTGCATGTTGTAACATAATTCCAGATCTACAAATTGTTTTTGTCTCTAGATTTATTAATTTTTGGACTCCTTCCATGAAGCTCACAAGTCACAACCTGTGGGGTTGTGCACACAGCAATTCTGTGATGTTCAAGATGGCAGATCAATTGTCCTTGTCAGAATGCAAATTGAATTTTTATGGATGAGTATCTGTGGATTAATACATGGTGACTGACGATCTGCAGGATTTGTAGGACACCGGAGTGCTATTTTCTTGTCTGGAAAAAGAGTTTGCCTTAAAGATATGGGAAAGGTGGATAAGAATTTATGTGTCCCATGTTCCCATTACATTCAATTGTAAAAGTGCAAAGAGCAAGAAGCAGGTAGAGTATACTAAATATTAGGTAAAGTGGAAAACTGTATCAAGCTTTAGCTGCAAGTACTGTGGAGTTGAATTACTTTATATAGGAATTTGTAGGAGTGGAATATGAGAGGGGCCACCGGGCCAGGAATTAGTAATTAGTTGCGTAAGTTAGTATGGAATCTTAGTTGCCTTTAATTGGTGATTCTTGGAAAACATATTTCAATAAAGTTATATTCTTCTTCTAGACAATTAAATTGAATTATTATCTATGGTTCGTTTAAATGTGTTCATACTTTGTTTAGCAAAAGCATGCAAAAAGAACGAATTTGGCTTTCAGCAATTGTTAAGATCAATCAATTTATTTCCTCAACGCGTGGCATACGAATTCCATCATAATTTTATAAAAATTTTTTTTTTGAAAAGCATAATTTTATAAAAAAATTAATGGTATATCTTTCAATTTAAGTTATTCACTAACATTTATTAATTTAGTTATTAAAATTTACAGTTAAAAAGTTTTTCATCTTAAATTTAAATTTAAAAATAATATTTTAACCCATATGTTGAATCAAAAAGATATATAAATCATTATCCTAATTTTATACTATAACCTTGCATGATAAAATTTTGGATGCTATAAACATAACCTTACAAAATTTTAGAGGCACCATTACATTTTGATCAATAATGCAAATTTGACAGAAAGTGAATATGGCAGTCACTTGGCATGAAAGGGTCTTGTTTCTTTCTTTACTATTCAACGGATCTTGTTTGTTAATACTTCATGTATTGAATCAGAAAAATATATTAATTATTATCCTAATTTTATACTATGACCTTACATGATAAAATTTTGAATGTTATAAACATAACCTTATAAAATTTCAAAGGCATCATCACATTTTGATCAATAATGCGAATTTGACAAAAAGTGAATATCGCGGTCACTTGGCATGGTACGGTCTTGTTCTTTTCTTTACTATTCAACAGACATTGCTTACCAATACCTCATGTGCAAGATATTTTAAAAGATCTTTGTTATAGATTATTTCATAGATCATTTAAGTGCCTTTTGCGATTCGGCGCACATGGAAAATGCGGCGTTTATTGCACTACTACTCTGTGGCTAAAGGGGTAAGGACGGTGGGTGCGTATTCATATCTACTCAAATCATGTGATCAGGTCCACCAATACATTTGGATGATCAAGAATGAGTTTTCTCAAGAATAGATAGTACAGAATTTGAGGCGCACCACTCTAATATTAATTACAAGTAATGGTCAAATTTTCTCCTTGAAGAGCAGCTGTACTTGGCAAGCTGCCGCTGGATGCACAAAGCACTCGGGCCATCTTGCCCCGAATGCCTTTTGAAACAACAATAAATAAATATATAAAAAATAGACTCAGGCCAATCAGGGTCCAAGTGTAAGGATTTTTCCATTTCTCTTTCACTTCGGTACGTACTTATTCCCTCTCGTGCTGTTCAGCCTGTTCACATCCGTGTCCAAGTGCTGTTTGATGATTCATATGATCAGTCTTATTATTGTTGTCCTGTTTTCTGCATTTTAAGTGGCTAATATTTGAGACTAATTTATAGTCACAACTTCTCCTGACACGACTTCAAATAAGGATGTTTTTTTGGTTGGAATTGTACTCCTTACAGCCCACATGCAGCCTTTTTAGATCCCACGAAAAGAACCAAAAATCTAAAATTGAATTTCTCTTACAATTAGGACCCATTGGCCGACTAATAACCCCATACCAATTTTAAAGGCAGAAGGATTCTAACACGCGTTTTTGTATCAATCCTCATTACTTTGCTATCTCCAACGAATAATAAGGTGCATGTTTTTATGTCCAACATATTTCTTCGATGCCATTGCCGATTTTCAAAAAAA